GAAAACCCCAACCCGCCACGCTGGAGGCATCTGGTGGAGAAGCGCACGCGCTGCTGTGGGGAGGGCTGGTGGCTCCTTCCCCTCAACTGAAGCACTAATCTTGGGAGGGTTCCAGGTAGGAACTCCAGGCATGTGGTGGCCCCAGTGTGCCTGGCCCAAGCAGCTGGAGGTGGCAGTTCCCCTGGGTCCTGCCAGCACAGCAAGGAGCCATTGCTGCTGCCTCCTGGTTCTCCTTCAGGGAAGCCGGGGGCCAGCAGGAAGTCCAAGGGGGGAGTGCGGAGAACAACCCTGAGCCATGGCCGCATTTTCCCTTTCTGGGAACTCTGTTGGGGTTGGGGGGCAGGGTGATGTAGAGTGATGTGATGGCGTCATTCTGTTGCCCTGTAGGAAGAACTTTCTTTAATATATAGAGAGAAAATATGCAGAAGGATTTAATTCCTCAATCTTTCCACGGAGCTGATGTGCACCAGCTTTGATGAATGTACAATTTGTGATTTGTAAACCACTGAAATATTTAAAACAAACCCTGTTTCCTAGATAACTGTTAGATGGTGGCCGAGGTAATGAATGGTCTGTGAGCTCTATCACATCCGAGTCTTTAACTGCTAGGACAGAGTCCCTTCGCAGCGGGCAGCCAGGGAGGCTGACGGGTGCTCCAAGGTGGTGCAGAGAGAGCTCGTTACACCTGAGACTTCAACTGCTAGGACAAAAGTCCCTTCACAGCGGGCAGCCAGGGAGGCTGACAGGCACCCCAAGAGTCTGCCCTGTGGAGGCGGCACGACTCAACGCTCAGCTCTTACTGCGTTTACCCCTGACCAGCTATGGTTCTTTTTTATTGTGTTTGGTTCTGTTACAGCAACAGGAGGAGTCAAGTTAAAGCTTAAACAGTTACTATTTTATTGTTACAAGGCAAGCTTAGCTGTTAAATGTTACTGCTGTGTTACAGATAACGCAGCCACTACAAAAGACAACACAGAAAATACAATGAAAAGTCACTTAAAGGTACCATGAAACCCTTTTGGTTCTCTGAGCTCTTATTGAATGCGCACAAACAGACACCTAGCAGACACCCCTGCAATCCTTACTCCAGCAAAGCCAGCGTTTCTCTCAATACCAACGGGAATCAGTCGATATGAGACGAAGGCGTCCCTAAAGTCTCAGGGGTCCAAAACCACCTGACCAGCAGGTATATGGATGGATCTCCAATTAGAGTGGAGCACAGGGCCCCACTTTATACCCCTGTGGTCATGTAGACGCTTCTCTTATCATTAAAATGCCAATTAAGTTGGACCGTCTTTGTGACGCCCATTCCCACAGGGGGTCCGAAGCTTAATTTGCACCTGTGAGGTGGAGGTAACTAAATCATTAGGGCCAGACAGTCTTTCTGATGGGGTGGCAGATTCCTCTTCTGTGTGTGTAGGCGTATCAATACTGGTACCAGCCAAGGGCAGCTCAAGGCCCCGATCGCCTGCTGGCCCAATCCCCCCTGTTATCTGGTTCCTGTCTAGCAGGGCCATTGTTATTCCAGCACCTCTGGAGGCCCTGGAGCCTTTGAAGACAGAGTTTCGCTCTCAAGGATTCTCTCTCTCAAGGATGTCAGAGAGAGGAGGGGAGAGGGGGGCGGGGTTTCTGTCTGGCTACAATAACAGGGAGCAATATGTGCACATAGTGCTCAGAAATGAGCCCATTAAATAACATACACTTTATGCTTGAAATGCAAGATTACAGTGATAACTATTTCGTTTCATGTATCAATTATAATCATAAACTATTTTCTTTGTTATATCAAGAAAATGGACAATTTTGTTTTATGCCTCAAAGGAACGGATACATGTAAGATACCAAATGGCTACTGAACATTTTGCAGTGTTAATTTTCTTTTTAATTTCATATGAAATAAATAAAGTCATGCACCATGTTAATTGTCCCTCGTTTTAGTATTTTTCATATATGTATATATATATATAATATTTAAAATGTTATAGAAGATATTTATAGTAACTGGCAGACGCCACGGTGGAACACATCTGCACAAGCGCACATGACCTCAGTATTGGTGCACATAACAAAACTCACTCCGGTCATGGATGGAAAATCTCAGTGGGAACAGTGGTTGGGGGCAGACTCACTCCAGTTTTGAGCAAATCCAGGGGGGCAGTGTGCAGCCATCACACATCAACCCAGTGGGGCAGCATAGCCAAACCCAGCTGGTACCTCCAAGATGGCCTTCAAGCCCTTCAGTCCAGCGAGCGTTTGCAGACGGACATGAACTCCAAGGAATTTTCATAGTTATCCCAAGTGATAGCATCTGTAGGGAAGTGAGAATCAGTGAGAATAGGCGGGGAGCCAGGATTCCTGGGTTCTTTTCCCACCTCTAGAGGAGTGGGGTCTGGTGGTGGTTAGATCTGGGGAGCTAGGAGCCAGGATTCCTGGTTTCTCTTCCCACCTCTGGGAGGGGAGGGAAGTGGGGGCTGATGGTTAGAGCAGGGGGGCTGGGAGCCAAGACTCCTGGGTTCTATCCTCCCTCCTCTCGGGGACTAAGAGGGCTGGCTGTCACACCCCTGCCATCGGGAAGTGTAGTCCCTGGGGCAGGGTGTCCATGTGCCCTCACTTTCAGCATCAGGAAATCACACTGGACATGAGCAGAGTGGGGGCCAATGGAGGGGCCTGGCCTGCTCCTGCCTAGCCTCCATTACCTTTGTCAAAGTTCCCAGAGGCCACAACATTTTCTCCAGTGATACTGTCTGGTTTGCCTGTCCCAAAGTTGCTATAATCCCATGCCGAGCCATCAGTCCAGCGCCAGGGGGCCTTGTCCTGTGTCTGGCCCTAGGGGGACAAAGAGGTATTGAGACAAGTTAGAACAGGTCACTAACTAGGCCAGCCCGTATCTGATGGCTGAGCTAGCATATATGAATGACTGAGGAACAGCAAATCCACAGTGTTCTTTGGGAAAGTTGCTGCCATCTGACCTTTATTCTCAGACCTGCATCTTCTGTGGGGAAGAGCCAGCTGCTCTGCAATCTCCCACTGCATGGAAGTACCTATACGCCACGATCCACTCCATATGAAGACCAGAATTTGCATCCCAAGTTTTCTCACCAGAAAAACCCAGCTGGAGGAACCCCCTTGTTTTAGGACATTGCCAGTGGGGATTTCATTTTGGGAGAGAAAAAATATTGGGGGGGGGGAATTTGATTCCGCAATGTGTTGATCTTGTGATTCAGTTTCCTTGCATTTAAGGCCAGAAGTCCCACCATTAGCCTGTGTGGAATGAGGCAGGCAGGGCAGTCACACAGACTGGTGCCAGTTCCCTGGAGAGTGGGGGCTCAGGAAAGGATCGAGGGAGCAGAGCAGACAAAGAAATCAGCATGAGGCTAATGTGCAAAGTGGGGTGTAGTGGGGGGGCAGTGTCCAGGTACAGGGGATGAGCTGAGTCCGAAACCCTACTCAGGCTGCTGGGTCCATGCTTCAAAAAGGCAGTTGACAGGGAAGTGCCACGGAGCTGAACCAAGGGCTGGAGGTGGGACATGAGATCTGGTGGGAGAGCAGTGGCAGAGGGGAGCCAATAGCCTTCCTTTTTCTTGTCATTGTTGGGGGTGCCCATCAGGTAGTAGATGAAGTTGTTCTCCTCTGCGCTGTGCACGGATGCCAGGTGGGCACCCTCCACCAGATCCTTGCACTCTGTCTTGGGGGGATGACAGATGCCAGGTGCCGGGGGAGCACAGCCTGACCTCCCACTACCCCAACAAGTCCCTGCCCCCCATTTCTCCCCACACCTCAACCCCCATTTCCTGCACTCCCCATCTGAGATCACCCTTCCTCCCCCACATCTCAGCCTTCCCTTTCCTCCACTCCCCGCCCCAGAGATTGCCCATCCTCCCCCACATCACACCCCCTCTTCCTCCACTCCCCACCCCAGATATCGCCCCCCTTCCACCACAGAGGATGTATTCCAGAGACTTGATCTACGACAGCAGTTAATTCCATCTCTGCTACAAGCCTGCACTAAGAACTTGGATTCGTTTAACAACAGTTAACAGCATTTCTTTCATTCTTTTCATGCATAGACCTTTCTAAGTTAGATTCTAAAGGACTGGCCCAGTGTGCTCTTTCAGCATAGTATAAATTGACCTGGGACTGTGGCTGGTCCTTTGGGATCGGAAGGACCTGTTTGGATTTGGTGATATTGATTTTCATATCCTCTCCTCTGTTCAAGGAGGAGTGCTGGTTGTGGGACAGGAGAAGGGGTGAGTGGGAAGGGTGTTAAGGGGATTGCTTGGGTGCTTTCTGGTTAGACCATGTGGTGAGATAGTTCTCTTTGTGACTGGTTTGGTGCCTTAGGGTATGTCTACATTACCCTCCTAGTTCGAACTAGGAGGGTAGTGTAGACATACCCTTTTAGTAGAGGCTCCCCAGTCTTGGGCTGCAAGTAGCCCTTTCTCTAAAAATTCATCCTGATTTGACCCTCTCAGTGGTGTCCCCAGAAACCTCCTGTACTGCAGCTGGGCACACTCCTGAACTAGGACAAAGAGGTTCAAGGGATGGGGTTCGGGGCTGACCCAGATGGCCCATGCTGTGACTTTCTGTTCTCTGGGCTAACTGAGCACATCCTCAGAGGGGGATCCGTGTAAATCTGTAATGCAAAAACAAGGAGTCCTGTGGCACCTTAAAGGCTAATGGATTGATTTGGGAATAACCCACTTTGTTAGATTTGTACCCACGAAAGCTGATGCCCCAATCAATCTGTTAGTTTTAAAGGAGTCACAGGATTCCTCATTTTTGAGGACTTTCTACAGTGGCTGCAGCTGACTGAGAATCCCGGGTGTGATGTTGCCGGCTGGGGGTCCCTGCAGATGTAGGCCGGGGTGTGTGTTGTTCTCTGCGATGGGATAAGTCTCCCTCTGGGGTCTGTCCCACAGGGACTCTCTGAACTAGCTCCTGGGGGGGAAGCAGGAGGTTGCGGGCCCAGGGTTCAGCTTACAGAGGTAGAAAATCTATGGGTCTTATCCTGGGGAAGAGGGAGACCCTGGGAAGGGGGGGACTCACCACCCTTGCCCCCCTCACAGTCTCCTCCCCTCCACTCCAGCCCCCACTGCACCACCCGTGCCCCATATGTCACCCTAGCTCTTACCTCCAATACCCACCCCCCATTACAGGTTATCATGTCCCTAATCGCACTTCAGCTATCATAGCCCTCCCCTTTCCCTGAGGGCAGGCCAAGCCAGATGGCTTGGGACCTCGGACCCCGGCGGGACACACCTCGGCTTTCTCCCAGGTTTTGGTGGTCATCACCGGGTAGTAGCAGGAATCACGGTACTGGTACCAGTCGGGAGGGCAACACCCCTGAGTACACGGACAGGAGCGGACATCGGAGGATGCTACAAGGAGGGAAAGGACATCTGAGGCAATGCTGGGAGGGTTTTAGGCTCAGGGATTAGAGTCACCAAGCCCCCCACCCAAGAATGGGAGCCCTGGGATCCTGACCTGGTCCCCACCCAGGTGCCTGTGCACACCTATAAGCAGCATTTCTTGCAAGCTGAGCACTTGGGTGGCTACCCAGGAGCAATTCCAATGCCATCCAGCTAATTAGCAGAGTGCACACAGCTCGGTTTTGTGTTTCTCCTGGTGGTGCACATTCTCACATGTCGTGGCGCACACAGAAAAATTTATTTTGCACATGGATGGAAAAAATCCACATGGGTTGAAAAGATTAGAGGGAACATTGCCTATGAGTCAGGTTTATTGACCAGGCTACATCTCCCGTGAGGCGCTGCGGTAAAATCACCCGTGACAACCCCCAAAGATCAAAACCTTGTGCTGTGAAAAGAAGGGGGCATTTTTCTCTGACCCCCCTCCCTCCAAATTTGGGCTGCAGTCTCTCCCAAAGTGACAAGTTTGGGGTCAAAACACCACAACTGAATTTGTGGGAGTTTCTAGCCCCAGACATGAGAGCTTGCAAAAGTCCCTCCCATTTAACAAGGTTTTGGCTGAAAATGTGAGAAGTTTAAGAAATTGTAAATCCACCCCCCGTTTGATGCTTTTGACCCCAAATTCAATAGTTTGGAGAAATTTTATCAATGTGGTTAAAATTTTCCAGGATAAAGCCCCCAATTATCCAGTGGTTTTGTGAAGAGTCGACTGTCCACCTTGGGGGCTAGGCTGAGATGGATGTTTGACCCTCCACTTGCTCCATTCACAGCAAGAGCCCTTCACCCTACAGCTTCGTTCCTTCCAGATGCTTTCGGTCCCCTTCAGAATCCAGAGCAACCCAAAGATCCTATTGTATCAGGGAACCTGCTCTTCTCTGGGCTGCTGGGCTCCAGCAGCAAGGAGTTCCCCAGGCCAATGGCCCCAGGACAATATACCCTTCCCCCAAACCAGTTCCAAGGAGACACCCACCCTCCCCAGCTTCTCCACCCTTACCCACTGGAACGGTGAGTCGGACTAGCAGAGAGGCAAGGAAGGGACGGAGGCATCCGGGCAGCCAGCGAAGTATCACCATGTCTGAAAAGAAGGGGGGAAGGGGTCACAGGAGGGAAGGGAAATGAGGCCAATCCCCTGTCACAGGGCCCTGCTTAGGCAGACTGCTATCAGTGGGGCTCAGTACAAGCTGTGCTCTCTAACATTAGCCTCCACTCCCTAGAGCCAGGGAGAGAACCCAAGAGTCCTGGATCCCACTCTGATCACAAGCCCCCACCTCCATCCCAGAGCTGGGAATAGAACCCAGGACAGGAGTCCTGGCTCCCAGCCCCTCTCTAACCCACCAGACCCCACTCTCTTCCCAGTCCAGGAGCCCAGGCCATGCTACCCCTTACTCAGCCAGGCGTCTCCAGCAGCTGCGATGGGGGCAGCAGTGCCCTGTGTGGGTTCTCCGTTGGTCAAGCTGCTGCCCAAAGCTGCTGCCTTTTATCTGACTGCACCAGCTGGAGCAGCTGTGTTTGTCCTGGCTCATCAGGTTCCTAGGACAATGGGAAGAGATGAAGATTGAAAGGCCCTCTCTTCTCCCGGCATCAGGTGACACATGGCTTATGCGGGCTCAGCTGCACCTGGATGGAGGGACTCAGGTATCGGGAGTGACTCTGGATTGACTCCGGGGGAACTGATCTCATATTCCGGCCCTGAGTCCTGTCCCTGCCTTGGAGCAGCACCAGGTGAACTGAGACTGGAACAACCCGCCACATTCTTGGCTTTGGGCGTTCATTATTACACAGACTGAACCCTGTCTCTCTGGCTCTGTGTGTGTGTGTTTGTGTGTGTCTCTGGCTGTGTGTCTGTGTGTGTCTCTCTGGCTGTGTGTGTGTGTGTGTGTGTGTGTGTGATTAGAGCAAAGGTTGGATCCAAGGTACATTCCCTTTTCTTCACCCACAAAACAAATATGTCCCTGGAAATGTCTCCGGCATACCTCCCCTTCCACTCCCATTTCCTGGCAGGCTTGGTGCCTTTGTCCCAAGTCAAATTATTGTCGCAGTCTCAGGAGTTTGGGGTCAAAGAATTAGACAAAAAAATCCCAGGAACCACAGTCTTCCCAGAATCCCTGGATGTGGTCGGAGACATACAAGTTCTCTTGCACAGTAGCAGGGAGTTCCCCACGCTAATGGCACATGGTGGAACCTCACACACACACACAAACTGACATATGCCCAGCCATGCAGAGTTCAACTGGGTTCAACAATTGTGTCCTGGCAGGGCGTGTGTGTGGGACAATGGGGAGGTGCACAGAGCCCCTGGCATGCGTGGATGGCAGGGGGGAGAGGCCCTGGAAAGGGCCGGGAGGACAGGGGCCCATGGCTCTCCACTTTCTACTAGCTGTAAGGTAGCGAGAAGAGAGCAAGAGGCAAGATCATGGGGGGCGGGGAGAAGAAGCCAGGCATAAGATGGGCCTCAGGAAAAGAAGCACGGCAAGGGTGTGGGCGGGGCCTCAGGATAGTGTGAGAGGGCGGGGCACTAGTGGCTCCCATTGCTTCTGGCAGGGGACACCCAGGGAGTATGGGGGAGAAAATGGAAGGATCCACTCGCTCGGAAGCACGCACAGAGACACGTGTTCTCTCGCGCACACACACAAACCGACACACAGCCAGAGACACAGGGTTCTGCCCGTCTAACAATGAATGCCCAAACCCAAGAATGTGGTGGGTGGTTCGGGTCTCAGTTCACCTGGAGCCACCCCAGGGCAGGGACAGGACTGGCAGCTGGAATGTGAGATCAGTTCCCCCAATAGCAAACTGGAGTCATTTCCGATACCTGATCCTCTCGAGCCAGGTATAGGCTGCACATCACCTGACGCCCCGAGAAGAGAAGGCCTTTCGGTCTCTGTCTCTTCCCATTGTCCCTGAGCTGGGCAAACACAGCTGCTCCAGCTGATGCAGACAGATAAAAGGTAACAGCTCTGGGCATCACCCTGACCAATGGAGAACCCACACTGCCCCCATTGCATAAACTCCTTTGCCCCTAAAGGGTGCCGGGATGCGGGGGAGGAAAGCTCAGGGCTGTGGCAGTCCCTGACTAGAGGGGACACCCCCAGCCAGCCCCTTTCACCTACCTGGTGATTTGTTTCTCTTCTGTATGGTTTTATGAGAAGCATTCCCATTCCAGGCACATCCCATTTTCCTGAGGCAACCAAACCCTTGCTTTAAGTCACTGGTGGGGAACCTCTTTCGGTCAGGGGTCACTGACCCACAGAAAAATCAGTTGGGGGCCACACACAAGTGAGAAGAAAAAAATTCCAACCTTTACTGAGAAGGAGAAAAACACTCCACACATTCCCCTCACACACCAGGGCCTGCTTAATAGATTTTGTGTGCTCCAGTCCCACGGGGGCAGCAGAGGGGCACCCGAGCTAGCGCAGGCTCCCCAACTCTGAGAGGAAGGGGAGCCCTGAGCCTCAAGGGCCATGTGATGGGCTCGCCAAAGCCTGCTCTGAAGTCAGGGACCACCCAGGTGACCAGCCAGCCGAGAAGCAGCCGCGGGCAAGGCAGCGGGAGCACGGCTGGCGGGTTTTAGGACCGCACTTCCGTCACGACACCCTGTGACGTCCGACGGCGGGCTGTTTAAACCGGGCCCAGGAGAGAGTCAAGGGGAGTGGGGGGTTGGACCCTTGCCGTGACAGGCAAGGAGCCTCCCCGACGCCCCGGCTGGAAGGGCTTCCGAGGAGCCCGGGAGGTAGCGATCCCACCCGTCCGGAACCAGAAGCTGAAACGATGGTAGGACCCGGGGGACTTCCCCACTAACGGGGTCAGGCAGAGGGGGTTAGGAAGCAACCCGGTCTAGGACCCACTCAGGATTTCTGAAGCAGGGCCAAGGGCCCCGGAGACCCTGCGGTCTCATAAGCTGAACAGGCGGAGGGCTCGCTGGGCTTCGTCCTTGGCCTAGCGGACGGGAGCTCGCACCCATAGGGACGCCCCAGAGAAAAACAGAGACAGGCGGAGGGGGATCACTGGGCTCCGCCCAGGCCAGGGTGGGTGTTCGTGCCCCAGGATCTGTAACAGGCCAGATACAGGCAAGCAGAGGGTTGCATCCGGCCCCTGGACCTTACCCTGGCTTTAACTTATGACAGGAGGAAGCTGCATATAAAATTTGGTGTTCCTACTGTCAAAGTCAGACACAGGATTCACAAGTTTGTCAGGCCACTCTGTTTATTAGCAAAGCCGCTCTGCTAATACACCCCGAAAATGTGAGCACTATACAAGGTTCAAACCCCTTGATTTATACAGACAAAAGAAAGCAAAATTAACAAGAGTACAAAAGGGGCAAAACTTCACATGATTCCCATGAGACTAGTTATGTATCTTCATTTCCATATCAAGCATCAGCAATCTCCTGTCCATATCTCGCTGGCCATCTCGATTACTTTCTGTCTAACACCTAATGTTCCTTTTCCTGCTATCCCAGACACACCTGGCTCCACTCTGCTCCATCCTGCATACCTACAAACAACATTAACATAATCTTCTCTTTCCTGTTCAGGGACAAACAGTATTCCTTGAACTTATTCTATTATTACAGTATAATTCATCTTTTTCTTACAATATAATTCTTTCTACTCTCACACTACCATTTAGGAGGAGTTCTTGAACAGACAGACAGACAAACTCTCTCAAGTACATCGTGGATTTCACATTGTCTGCATGCACAGCTGTGCCCCACAGTTAAAATGAGTGAGAGCACAGCTTCAAAAGAGTACCACCTAGATTTGCTGCCTGGGGCAGGGCCTGGTCGTTCCTCATTTTCAGTAGTCCAGTTTTGGCCAGTCACAGCTGAGTCGGTGTTGCTTGCCACTTAGGGTGTGTCTAGACTACACCTCTCTGTCGACAGAGAAATGTAGATTAGGCACTTCGAAATTGCTAATGAAGCAGGGATTTAAACATCCCGTGCCTCATTAGTGTAAACATGGCCGCTTTTGTTTCCAAAAAGAGGGTTTAAAAAAAAAAAGCAGTCTAGACACGGATCTGTCGAAAATAAAGCCTTTTTCGACACAGATCCTGTAAACCTCATTTTTTTAGGAATACAGGATCTGTCAAAAAAGGCTTTATTTTCAACAGATCCGCATCTAGCCTGCCTGTTTTTTTGAAACAATTCTGTTTAGAAAAAAAGAGGTGGCCATGTTTATGCTAATGAGGCATGGGATATTTAAATCCCTGCTTCATTAGTAATTTCGATGTGCTTGATTTGCACCCCTCTGTCGACAGAGGGATGCAGTCTAGATGTAGCCCTAGTGAAGGCCAATCAGTAACCCACAACAGCAGTTCTGCCATGTGATGAGCCATGGTCCCAAATACACCGTGCCCATGAAGGATTTATATTGTGTTGGACCTGAGAACCTCGGTAAGAGGTTTTAACAAGATTGTAAAAAGGAGAATCGTAAGAACTTGTAAGATTAAGGTTTTTATTTTTACAATTGTTTATTTTGCATGCCAAGTAAATACAAGTAAAATTTCATTCTAGTTGACTCATTTTTCTCACTATTGAATACAGGGAGGAGTGCCAAAATCATAGATCATCTAGGGCGCCAAAAATCCTTGGGCCAACCCTGCTGATACATACACAACAGGACCTGGGTGACTGAGCAAGATTCTGTTCAGTATCTGAGACCAAAAAAGTGAGAAAAAAGATTCATTTCAGGGTGACCTGGGAGTTCCGGTGTGTTGCTTGCTGAAACAAAGCCATAAAAAATGCTGTATTTTGCCCCCAAAAGATTGTGTTGAATTTTTATGTCTTTTGAAAAAAAAATCCCCAAAAGGTAAATCAAGGCACAACAAAACCATTTGGTGTTTTCAGAAGTCCCTTTCATTTGTGTTTATTCTTTCTGGCCAGCAATAATCTCTTGAGTTCAACTCAAAACCATGCAGAATTTTGGGTGCCCCCAAATTGCATCTTTTTGTTTTGGTTTGGGTTTCTTTGCAAATGATAGTCTCTGAAAATAACTTACTTGGTTCTGTTCACACACACACAAACAAATCTCATACAAACACACAGGGGGCAGAGTCCATTCACTCCAGCAGGGCAGA